CTTTATACTGTTAAAAGTGTCACATAGCAAATGGAAGTCGTATATTTAATTAACAATATAATTTCATGCAACACATTTTTCTTTTATTTCCGCTGGCATGGATATATTGCAGTATTCCTTTCATATATTTATAGGGCAGAAGTACACAGTGGCACTGACGGTTTCCAACATAGTCTCCACCTTCACATCACTGTCTGTAGTTCTACAGGACGAGGCAGGAGAAACTATCTCTACTTCAATACTAAGCATGTCATATACTACCTCAAGGACAACTGGACATACAGAAATAACGATGCCTTCGTCGGTATGTACACAGAAAGAATTCCTTTTAGATCTTGACTGCAGGTCTATTGAGCATGTCCCAAAAACAAGTAATAGATTATAATGCAAATATAATTTACTTGTGAATACATGGCTTTTTTCAAGGGATAATTAAATCGTTTGTATATGGTCAACTGAATGCCTTTTTATTGCTTTCTAACATCAGCTTAGTTTTTGTCCTGACATAGCTAACATAATATCAGATTTGAATAATGAAATGCAGCGATGCCCTGACAGTGATATATAATTCATGTATAAAACCATATCGCTGGGTATGTATTGGAACTTCGCCGGATACACTTCTAGAACACTAGGTCGTTTCCTCAATTCACCCCATAAACATTTTCATTGCTTACATTCTACTATAGTTTCGTTGATTCATTGTCTTCTTTCGTAAATTCGTAACTAATTTAAGGGTGAAAAAAATGCATAAAATTTACATTGAAGAACAAATGGGAGAAAAAGCATTGAAAATGAATTACTGAATAAATCCGTACTTGGTTGTATTGCTTCTGAACGATAGTACCAACGATTTATGAACCAGTAATATCCCTATTCCATGATACGTTTGAATTTCAATTTCAGAATGTTTATATTCAAATGTCAGGGCTGGACTCAAGCGGGTCCAGTTTTATACGGTCATCATGGAGACAAATAACCCCTGTCGGTGTTGACCTTGTCGTCTTCCCAGTCTTGGGTAGGTAACCAATATCTATATGACAAGATCATGTGGTATAATTGATCTACCCGGGGTTTTTTTGTCCGTTTTTCCAGTTTCTTTACTTAATGGAGCTGATTTCTTTTCTTCTTTACCTAGATGTTTTCAGTTTCCAGAAGGGTCTAACCTGCTATATCCTATGTTGCTGATAGGTTACAGGAAAACACATGCTTATTATTACAGGCCAGGTTGGTGCTGGCGAAAACATCACATACCAGTTGACCAATAACAAAGCTGCACCAACCACATATGACGTCACGATGTCGAGTAATGTGACGTCATCCACTTCAAAGACCCTTACCGTGCAAGCGTCTGAAAAACTCGAAGATTCTTTTGAAATCGCCATAGCAACGGATCTTCAATCATTGTGTGTATTAGCGCAGTTGTTAAGATTTTATAAAGTATGAAAAATGTGAGCCGGATGATTTTGACTAAATCAAATTAGTTCATATTTTGCATTAATTGTTTATCTTTTGTTAAGGCAACAAGCATTGTCTACCACCTGTTCATTATAACGGGATTATGGTGTTTCGGTAAATTATTCTGATATATATTGAATACCTTTCTATCTTTATTCCAACAGAGTGTATTCTGTATCTGTCCAGGACGATGGCGGATCTACAACATTACAGTCACACTCCTATACCTTACAGGTGAGCAGTTGTGTAACATTTGACTTCTTACAATACAGGTGTATGTTCTCAAACACCAATATTTTGAATCGGTGTTAAAGTTGTTGTAAGATGCAGCAGGTCTAACATCGTTATCTCGAAGATCACATTTCTCCGGCCCGGACCCAGTCTTTCTTTCGTTATAATACTCAAATACTTAGACGAATCGAATGTTTGCCTCCCTTCATCTTCGACATAACAGTTTGATTGTGTTTAAATGTTCTGACTATATTTAAAGAGAATGACTCCTCTTATTGTTTATCACTTACGTTCTAATATTTTTGTTATTGTTTACAGTTAGTCAGCACCCTTTGTACAATATCCACAACAACTAATAATTGTAATAATGGTGATTCCCCGTGTTCGGCCAGCCAATGGTCAGCCACAGCCGTGTTCAATTTTGATGTGTCCATATTCGTAGTTACCACAGGAATATCAATGACCGACCACATCACAGACTACTCCCGTCTGTATATCAGGTAAGTAAATAACATCAACACGAACTATTTATTACATTTTTGTCGATAACATATAGGAATTTATCAATTTGGTAATAACTGATGCTACCACTGCTGAGCGATGCTTTCTGCAATGTTATTTGTCGATTATCCTGTTCGAACGCAATGAACGTGTTATTTGACTAAGTTAATTTCCATCGCATTATTCCCGCAGAATATAACGTAAAACGACTTCTTCAATCTACGTGCTATTATTTCACGCACTATCATGGGCACCTGCTTGACATTCATTAAATGTTTTTATGAGCTTTTTTCCTTGAAACTTGTCATCAGAAAAATATTTGTTAAATATCATATTTCACTCTTTAAAGATATAGATATTTTGTCATATTCGTAATATAAATGATCATTAAACCCATTAAACACCCTCTATGAAGGTGATATTACCTTGTGGGTCTTCTGTATAATCCTTAGTATTTACTACCAAGGAAATTATAGTTGCCTCCTACTAACTGAACTAAACATTTTGAATGAAACTTAATTGATTTAATAATAAGTGTTTCAACTTCTATCAATTACTGTTGCACTCCCCAATGGAAGCGTGCCAGGGGTTTTACTGTGTGGGGAAAACTCACTGGGGCAGGTGAACCAATATCTTTTCACATCCGTTTCGGGAATCGAACACCGGACGGCTAAGTGAAAGGCGAATACGTTACTACTGCGCCACCCGACCACCAAAACTATTAACTTCACCTCGGTATCATTTCTTCATCAAATTGTGACGGATGCTTTGTTATCTATCCTTGTTTCTCTTTCATTACTCATTTTTCTATTTATTCTTTATTTGTGTATATATTCTTATTTATGTATTTATTCCTTATTTATTTGATCATGCCAGACCAACTAAATTTATCCATTTTTTATACAATCTATCATGTAGTGGAGACTGTTGCAGTTTAAATGTAATACTGTCGGCCTATTCTGTGGACGGCCAGGGATGTCAGGTGAAACTTGCACTGACTTCACAGGAAGGAACAGAGGTATCAGTTTACATCATTCATAGTAGTTGTTCTTATCCTATGATATATATTTAGTGAACATATTGTGGTTTTATATAATGATACGTTGTTCCAAATTTGGTAATTTCTAATCAGACTTTATAACATTTTAGGGAAATGATACTCAGTACCAGAAGTAGGATATATTCAAAGTATTATTTTGTCGGGAAAAATAGCAAGAACAGTTAGAGTGTATGAAACAAATCAATCAAACTGTTTTGATATGTTATCTTTCAATAAGTCGGTGGAAAGAGAACATTTTGAAGTTAAATGAGAGAAATAATGTCTTGTGTTTTTGTTATATGATATTAAAAACAAATGTAGGATTAATTGATTACAAAACAAATTATCGTTATGACCTTGTCATTTTGTCGGTTGTTTAATTGAAATTCTTTTCTTGATTCGGTGATCATTCAGACGGATGAGGGAAGTCGGTCGATCCTACCTATAATCATCGGATCAGCGGTAGGTGGCATTGTGCTTGTACTCCTCGTTATCGGAGTTTACAAGTATATAGCAGTGAAAAAAGCGAACAGTATCCAATCTAGGGATCCTACACTAAATGTGCCCGAGGACCCATTCGCCAGCCTCAATCTTCAACGTCCGATTACTGCCCCTGTAGCGACGTCTTACACCACAAAAAAGTATCCTTTGTTAGAGAGGGACTTCCAAAATTCTTATTATGTAAGACCTACAACAGGACTACAGCGTCCTCTGTCGTCGCGTCCAACATCCGGGCATTTTAGTATACAATTAAATTCACGTCCGAACTCCTTAAGATGACGTCATCGATTTCTAAAGTCACATTGTGCTGCAAGAACAGGGGAAATGACCAGTTGTAAATATTTTATACATATCATTAAAGATATTCCGAAAACAGGCAAACTAAGTGATTAACTCTGCAACTGAGGGGGGTTTGTAGAGAAGAATTTCCGGATTATCCTGACAGTAACTCTTGGTATTGCGGTCAGGAAATTCAAATAAAATGAGACACAACTGTTTGCTTGTTTAGATTTTTTTGTGATTGTAGTTTGACAACAAGAAATCTACTGCTGGATTAACTCTAAAAACACAACGAAGTAAAGTACCCGAAGCTGATTGATTCGTGAACAGAACTGTTTGTCTCGTATATGAATACTTTTAAAATAACAATCTATACGTAACCTCTATTACTTCGGCACTATTAATCTACTATCTAACTTTTCGTGTTTGTCCAATCTGGAACGAACTATAGTTTGATATTGAAATATGTGAAAAATCCTGTTAGGGGTTGAATCAAATACTTCAAAACAGAAACAAACATTTATTTTTTTCGATATTATATTTCTCGTGTATGACAAAATACAGATATTTTCACGGTTGTAGAACATTAGTACTTTGTGTGATATGAAGTTGGATGTGTTTCCTGCTCGTTGGCACCGCTGTTGTGTACCTTGCTCGCATTTGAGAACGTGACATTCCTTAAATTGACCAATATTTACATGGCGAAAGGCGATTACAGTTCCGGAACATCTGGTCTTATTCCCCCTGTAATTCTTCAACAGTTTCCGCATCAATCCTTTTTGTTAATGTTTTTCATCACACATTGGAATACCTGAATGTCCAGAGGGCATCACAAATTTGAATACCTGAATGTCCAGAGGACATCACAAATTGGAATACCCGAATGTCCAGAGGACATCACAAATTGGAATACCTAAATTTGGAAAATGTGTTAGTCCTAACTGCTAGCTGCCATCGACGATATTTTTTCTGTCTATTCATTTAGTCAGTGTTATGACGAACATTGAAACTTTTTAAAATTGATTTGGAAATGTTTCTGAATTGAACCTACTGGAATAACTAAAGCAGAATCAGTATTGTCTACAGCTACAAGGACACCAATACATTCAAGGGAATTGTCACTCTTTCTCTGGAACACTCCTGCACCGGAATCACCACGAACAGCAAGTGGTTTGAGTTTACAATGAGTTTCACCGCATTGACTGTTTTCTATATACAGCATACCACAATACCTTTCACTAGCTTTTGTCTTCCCATACATTTTCTGAGTAAATCGGGTGGACGTACTGTTCCTGTATTTACCACTTGTAGCTCCTGACATACTTCCGAAGATGATTATATCATTTGAAGTGTCAAATGTGTTGTTCAGGGCTCCATCAGTGTCTGATGTATCTGGTTTGGCGCAAATGGACGTAGGTGCTGGCTGTGTTTCCTCGTCGGAAGTAGGTGTTGGGCGTCCCGTCTTTCCCGAGTCAAAGGTCGGTTCCTCAGTTGCATATCCTATAAAAATGTAAGAACAAGAAAATGATACATTTTGGTAAGATACACATTGACTACAGTGCAATGTGTGCAATCATTTCGATATAAAGTCTGTTTTTGACTATTTAATATCACCTACCAATTCTGTCTAGCTCCTCTTGGTCATACACAGTGAATCCACCAGATGTTGGAAGTCTGGTCTGATCGGTGATTTCGACAATTGCAATGTCAATCGATGTTCGTCTTTCTAATGCATAATCCCAACACACAACTCGTCCGCACTCTAGATCGCCTTCTGATTCCTTTACAGGCTGAAATGCCAAACGTTCAGTTGAACGTTGACTATGCAACCCAGAGCGTTGACACAGTACCCCAGCTTGGTGAGTATTTCTTGGTTGCCAGCACTCTTCTTCAGAGTACATGACGTGTGCACATGTAATGAAGCAAAGTCTGTCCATGTATTCAACAAGTGGTCCAATAGTTCCATGCCGCGTTGTTCCGTCATTAGTTCCGATGTTGCCTCCCATTTTCAATGGTACGTGTTTCCCTATAGGATTATTAACCACTAACTTAAAAAAGCCTTCCCGAACATCCACATCGACTGGGACACTTTCACCTTTAACATAGATTTTAGATGGAAAATTAGACTCTCCGTTTGGGATAAACGATTTAAAACTGCAAACAATAACCACACAAGGTGTTAACAGAAACTGTCCTTTCTGGTACTTCACGGGCGAAGATAATATACCTCTGATATTGGAGTGGTTGTTCCACAGTGTTTCATTTTCCTGTTCTATGGCCTTGTCTACGCGAATTTTATCGGCATCCGATAATACATAATTGTGGCTGTGACAGTAATGCAGCACTGCTCTTCCCTCATCCCAACCGCCTTTCTCTGTATAACGCAAATTGTAAAATAGAACCCGATATCCTGCGATACTTGTCTCTGTTCTGTGTGTCTTTTTGGTACTGAAGACGACAAACACTGTCATGTCACGTAACGTCCCTCGCACAACATAATCGCCCTTGTATTGCATACTCAGCTTCTTTTTGATGCCTTCCAATATACTATTGGTTTTATGTCTATTCATCTTAAGACAACGTTCAATGACGTCATTGTCTGTGTAGCTAGTCAGTATCTGTAGAATCCCATCGTTTTCATAAAACAATGCTAGTTCCATCGGCGTCACTTTTGGCGGGAGATATTTCTGGATCGTTTGAGGTATCGCTCTATTTTTGCTACTCGCTCGCGTCATAACGTCTTTTATGTTGTTTTCACTGAGGCTTAAGCATGTATATTGATCATTGTCAACAACACTTTGGTGTAAATCGGTCCAAACCAACGGTTCGTCCACAACCTTCCCTGTAACAGTGAAGTTCTCTTTATTAAAGTGTATTTCTCTTCATTATAGTGTAATTCTCTTCAATAGCTAATCGTGCTATTTTAGATGTAACCGTATTTCATTTGTTAATGGTGCTATATTAAATGTAACAGTGAATTTCTGTGCATTACTAAATCGTCCAACATAACTTAACAGTAAACGCAATGATTCAGCAAGTTAACGTCATTATTATGAAAATCAGTTTGTTATGTAGAGGGTCCTTTGTTAAAGCGACCGTCAGATGTTAAGGTAATCAAGACATATCTCATATGCTTGTTAGGGGTTTTATGTCCTTGTAACAACCATGACAATTGTCAGCATCTTGTTAGGAGGAAAATAACAAACAAGCCCATAGTTCCATTTTTACTGTCCCGCTTGCCCTTCTTCGGATCTTGATACAACGTTCTATCCTGAGACAGATGTTATTATTACTAAGTGTTGAGCAAGTTATTACTGCTGATTAAAATTCGATATTCTTTTCCTATTTTTAACAAGTTAAATAATACCGAGAGGTCATTGGGTGTGTAATTTCCTTACTTTGATTTATGGAAAAGTTATTACTTTGAACACATAGTAATGTTAGCAATATGCTATACGATAAGGAAAGAGCATGACATGCACATCAACAAACGTTTTATAACGGAGATACTCCAGTTAAATATGTCATATTCTCTTCATTGCACAACAATGAAAGAAACATTTCCATAGAACTATAGAATTATATAAGGCTAGACCAAATAATGAAATTTTACTATACAATAGAGCTTTCCCGTCCTTCTTGATGTAAAATGCCTACATTTCTAAACATATGAGGCGACTGAGGAAAATCAAACATACCGAAAGAAATGACAGAATCTAGATTCTCTAAGGTTAATATATATATATACCTTTCAAGATGTTTTCTATGTACTGAACGTAATGATCTCCTCTTCCCTTTACCAGATCCAATGGTGTTTGGCCACCAGCGGTTTTTCTTGTAAAGTCAAAACCTGCCTTTGTGAAGAGATCGAAGACTGAAATATCACCATTGTTTTTGCACCAGTAATGTAAGGCGTTAAAACCTTTCTTTTTGTCGTTGCGTTTTCCACATTCAATACAGGAAGGGTGGTTTTCGAAAAGATAAAACATCATTTTCTTATCTGTACCCATCGCCGCAGAGTGTAAAACAGACGTGCCACCTTTAGTTCTGTAGGTCACATCGACGCCATTCCTTACCAAATCGGTAAAAGTATCCACATCGCCGTAGAGAGCACAGCTTATCAATCGTTCACCTGTAGCAGTTGACGTTGAGGACGCCATGACCTGTAAAGTATTATTCGATAACCTTGATTTTTTTCCGTTTCAAACTATCTTATTGTCAGTTTCCTACATTCATCAAAAGTAAAGCAACGTGAAAAACTTTTACTTTTATCAAAAGTACATTTAGGTCGTGTTAATCGTGAAAATATGAATGACTAGTCTTTTTAGAATTTTTGTGTATATTTGACACTTTGTTCAGATTGTTCCATGGTAAACTTAAAATCGACACTTTTACGTAAGTTCCTCCTATAATATTTAACTAATTAAAGTCAGTTAAAGAATGTCATTTCTGCGAACTCAGTAACATACAAATTTATCAGAATACTGTTTAGAAGAAAGGTTTCTGAAAGTTTAACCTGATTAGATGAAAGATATAATACCATATACATTATAATTGTATAATATGTAGGACTATTATTTCTTAGTTACAAAATGTTCTTGCCTGTGTATCACTGGTATCCTTATATATACTTACCATGGTTTGATATATATTAAAAGGATAAGGTATGAATCTGACGATGGGAAACCCTACCGTGTCAAAATGTTGGTTAAATTACTAACATATATAACTGTCGTCTGAGATAGCATCGTGTAGGTTTTCCCGTTTGTTTTCACTTTATATATGAAATGCATTAGCACACATAGCATTATATATTTAGGTTTGTTCTGGGAATACTGTATCGAGTAGGTAGATAGTGAATAGTATTAGTCATTGTCAGGTTGACATGTACAGGTAGGTGTATAATATCGTGTTACATGCATGTTAAATAAAGTTTAATTATCACCTGTTGTAAAATATGATGTTATCCTGTGACACTAATTGACGATTAGTCAAAGTATCATGCAATATGACTTCTTGCTCCGTCGGCTGAATATCTTATCGAAAAAGTAGAAAGTTATGAATGTATTTGATGTCATGGTATATCCACTACCCGCTCATTCTTCTTAAATATGATTATTCGGTCAGTAATTCGTCGTCCTAATCATAGCCTTAATGATTAGTAAGAAATCGAAATTCATTGTTCAATTTACAATTATAACGAGATAATTGATAGCATTCAATTTCTCATGAAAATGCATGGTGACTTAGAGTCTGGAACGGAGAATTCAAAATAACATTTCGCGATAGGATGTGTTTCAGGATATGATTTATGAACCACAACGAATATGCTGCGAAGCAAACAATTTTTACAAATACTTAGAAAAATCATTATCATCAGCGTGTAGTAATAGCATAGACTCTAAATAATAAAAACATACATTAAAACAGGCAGGAGAAAATACTCAGTACCATCGAAAATCATGAAATAACAGCTTATGAAGGATGTTTCATAACGTTTGAGGAAAATTCACACAATTCTAGAATGTATACAAAAAAAATCAAATTGTTGCAAATTAACAGAAAACCAGAAGAAATTAAAATACAGAAAATCCCTCTACCCTCAAAGTAACAAGGTAGTTCTGGAAACCAAGTGTGACTGGAAGAAATACATGGTTAATAATATTCTGCAACAAATACAACAATTAATGTCTTTAAACCTAACGACACATCACAGTGACTTGTTTACCTTTGAGTCGTATATTCTAGGAGGTCAAACAGTTGTTATGGAATCTAGTAAACTTCCTACATCTTCCACAGTTTTAAGTCTTTTAACAGATACCTCAACTTATTTCATAAGTTTGTTTTTCTTCTTGATTTGAATTCATCCGTATTTATCATCTGTGATCTTTACTTTCGTTCTATTTGGATTTCAGGTGAGCTACGGTTTCTCCATATCTACGTTTTCACAACATATCAACTGAAATACTGTTCTTATTTTCGATTCTTATTCATCACTTATAATACTAAAAATAAATGGGGATTCACAAATGATCAATACAGCATATCATGGAACAAAATTTATACCCAACCATATTTTAAAAGGTCTTTCTGTAAAGATACTATCAACATGGAGAAACAATGGGTTCAGGTTTTTATATTTTTGTGTCACCAGTCATTACGTTAATTCATGGAATCCATTAAACTACGTCCCAGTCTAAATCATGTAGTACTCCACTCTATTTTCGATTTATATATAGAATGTACAGAGTTGTCGGTAGTGCTGTTTTAGTATGACTGTCATTCTTTTGTGATAACATTGTACAAAAGACACAAATGTATAGCACCATTAAATACAACCACAGAGTTAGATACCGTAGTCAAACAATGAATGAAACTGTATCATACAATCCTTTCTTCCTTCTATCTAGCTTTCTTAAACTCGTCAGTGGTGTCAAGAGCTCAATTGTTAAACCTAGCAGGCGACTGAGAAAAAGTTGGAAAAGTTTCTGCTGTCTATGGATGTTTTACTTGTTTGGTTGTTTCTACTATGTTTTAATGTTTCCAATATGTTTCGTTGTTAAAATTGTTGTCATTACTGTAACATGATAATGTTGACAGAAGAATAGTTACCTTAGTAGTGTCCTCACTAATTCTTTTGAAGGTTATATATCCTTGTCGATAACTACTTTCGTTTTTTATTACTTAAATGTCAGTTTTCCATACATTACACTAGGCATTTTCACTTCGTATATAAATTGTATGTAACAAGAATTTTATGTGTGGGCTTGACATTATCTACTTGGATTTACCGAAGGGTTGTACATGTCGTACATGTATTACCATACATATTTATTTACACAACTGAGAGGAGAGTAAGTGGTAAGGAGCTAAAATCGCAGAATTTAATATTTGGGATAACCTTTCATTATAACACAAATCTTAGACGAACACAATAAATATCTATAATAAAAACGGGAAGATCAACACTGTTGGTTTTTCTTGATATTAGAGTTACTAGGCCATATGTCACAGACAAGTGATGTCTTTGTGTGTGCTTCACAAGTTCCTTTTTTCAATATCAAGACCTTTAGCATCGATGAAAATTCCCAGAAGGACGAAACATGTAAAATGCAGTTTAATTTATTATTTGGCTCTACTGTAACTTGATCTCAATTTTTATGGAAATGTGCTTTTCACTTGTGTGTCTGTTGTACAATCTACTTAAAACATAGTAATCGGAATCGTGATATGAACAAACTGCAGTTTTCTAGGGGGTCATACATGAGAATAAAAACAAATCTTGTGAACATAAGTAAAATATGTCCTGTAGTTCATCTACGACATATAACCAAGGAGGCACGAACGCACACACATATATATATAACCCAATCCTTAACCCGCTTAACCCACATTTGGATATCCAAACAATCAATCGGTAAAAGAGAAGTGATAAGTCATTGTGTGGGATGGATTAAAACTGAAAGTTAATAACACTTTCCTTTCCATATTGCTACTCTTAATGTTATAAATTGAAATAAAAATGATAAAATCATCATTTTGTTTAAATATTGTATCCAAGTTACAATAAAAATGCTTGTCTTACCTTTAAAGCCAAGTATAAGCAGTGGTTCCAGATTATCTCTTTATCTTACGTCGAATTAACGTTATAAACTAAACATATAAATAAATGTATTGTAGGGTTTCATTTGAAATGCTTTATGAAATAATTTGGAGTTCCCTTACAGATTTATACCCTGTGCAATCACCAAGACATCGGTTATTCTATAAATAAACTAGGAAAGTAAAGATAGACGTTTATACTATTTCCTAGTTTCATTTTTAAAGAAATGAAATATTGACTTTCCATTTCTAAATAAATGTTATCTACATACATTGCTGGAAATAAATATAAAAAACATTGTAACAATCTTTGTAAATTCCTAAAACTGATATCCATGACATTAAACGACCACCGGCTCAAGCAGGACGCAGTATAAACAACACTGACTGCATTTCTACGTTAAGATATGACGGAGTCTATGAATAAGCATTGTGCCTGAGACATTCCATACAAATAGACTCAGAAACATCAAAATATAGAAAGAAACGTTTATAAAATATCTTTTTCTATGCAACATGAAGGCAAGCTATCGTACATTTCATAGATTCTATATTTAGATGTGTAAAATATCCAGAGTACATTTGAATTACCTGGGGTCTTAATATAGTAACAAACTGGTGAGTTGGATATCCCCAAATTTTGTAGTTCTACACCTAGGAATCCATCGCTGGTAAGGGTGTGTAAACGTATCTAATTTGATTGAGTTCAGAATAAAACGGATATATCTTAGCAACCAAGACTGATCAAGTGAAGCCGTCATTACATTCATTTAGTAGGATGTTTTTCTCCACTAACACTAAAATGCTTGTCTTTCCTTTATCCTGTGTCGTTGTATGTTCAGTCCACAAATACTGCTATTTTTGATGACAATTTAGGTTGTGTCGTTATTTTAGTCTTAGGATCGTTGTAGTATTAATAAGGTCATCAAAGAAAACATTAATTTGTCGTTACTCTTCTGAACACCTGGTCTTATTCCCCTGGCACTTTTAAAGGAACCTCAGCGTGAATATTCTTATTGTTAATATTTCGCTCAAATTGCAATGACTTTAATTTTGGATCATAGCGATGATTATTTTCACATGTTGGTAGTTTCCTTGTGTTTGTGTCAGTTGCCATTTAAATTCTATGTTTTTTGTTTAGGGTCCATGTATACTTAATGTTTTCTACTAATTTGTCGGTTTATCGACCAATGACATTCATTCAATATTGTAGTGTCCACTGACAGTGGAAGTCTGGTACAGTTTTGATAATTAAAGTGTTTTATTGTGTGTGTGAGGCTCAACGTTTGAGTTTATTTTGTTTGTGCTCTGTTAAGTTTAACTACTTTCGTTATCAGATACACTAGTGTAATCGCAATTTTCGAATCAAAATATATCTGTATTTTTACAATCAACGAAATGGAATGTTAGTGGTGATTATAGGAATAATGTTTAAGAAAACAAGATATTGTACCTCTATTCCCTTCCCGCAGTATCTTAACACTAGCAGTGTCAATGATTTATATATAAACATATATTCAGCTTATAAATAACACTCTCACTGCCATCCGTAAAAATATCAATCATGTTAAACCCGTTCAGAATTCGTTTGTACAATTAAATTAATAAAAAACAAAACATTATATATATATTTCACCATATTAATAATTTCAATTTTTAGATAGATATATATTTGCATGAAACAAGTGTTTTTAATCAAAATACTTTTTATTGCAACTACACGCATACAATTAACATTTTTTACAATATTTTTTTTTCTACTTCTTTAACAATTCCTCATTTAGAACGTGGCCGAGATGTACCGGTAGACGATTGTTCTCAGAGTGTGACGTGCAATTGATTTCGCTGCGATCACCTGTATGTTCAGTGTCTAGAGTGCAAAACATACCTAGATTTATGTAAAACATTTTTGACATTTTAATCACCATCTTACATACCACAACTTGGAATGGTTTCTTGTCCGCTATAAAGGGCCTTCGGCGTCCATTGGCCGAAGGGATTATCGAGACACCTAAATTTACACCACCGCTCTCGATTTAGATTTATAACTTTGTATTTATTTTTTGTTCTATGTATGTAATGTGATTTATGTAATATTTGTGTCTTGATAAAGAGGCAGGTTGCCTTGAAAATTTGACATTTCACTTGTCCGTACGGTTGCTATTACTTCATTGTTTATATATATTTATTTATTTAATATCAAAAGTAAACATACAGTTATGTATTGATACAATCGAACATGGAAAGCAAACAATAAATAACAAAGTCGGAACTTTCAGTTAAAAATAAAGTTATTTTCAGGACAGCCAGAACGCTTACTGACAAGGTACATATATATGTATATCACTGTACAAGGCGTGAAGAGGCGTTAATATTGTACATTGTAGAAGTAACTGGTATTTCCGTAGGGTAGCGTTAAGTCTAGCCAGCCACCTGTGAAATCAGACATTCACAGATCACGATATCATGAATACAAGATGTATGTACTTAATAACGAACAGACGACACGAAGAGTATATGTATACTTAAACCTATACTGGCGGGAAACTTTGCTAATCTGTACGTACATCTGTGACTAATATCTAAACATTTTGTGAAATAGAAATAACAAAATTCATATTGAAATGTCAAGACCTCGCTCATACAGAATATACCTTGGCGCACTACACGTACTCTATCTTCTGTCATCGACACTTCCACAAACACTTCAGTGTTCACTTGTTTGCTTGTCGGGACGAATCACATGTTTGTATACAACACGGGACCTTTCAGTGTGACCCACCAGGCAGAACCTGATCACTCTTTTTTCTGTAATCGTATAGTACAAACCCACTCGAGAGGATATCATAAGCGATACTTGAATACAATTACTCATCGTAAAGGTGATAGAGGCATTTTATAATGTGTATATACAATGGATTAAATGGGACTTTTTACGACTTTAAATATTGTTCGTGTCACGTTAGCCCGGTCCATTTTGGTATTATTGTGTCTTTTTGGTGGTTTCATTAAAGCCGAAAATTAAGGTTGACATTGTGTGTTCATATGCATCCAGAATAATTTTATATATGATTTTGTATACATGTGCGGCCTGATCAACTTTTTTATGGTTTTTTGTACGTCGAGATGAACTTTATAGAGCTTACTGGAAAAAAAACTCATTTCCTTGCGTAGCATTTTCTAAATTTGGTATATTGATGCACGTTGTTTGGAATCGCACATGTTGCTGCCTGCAGGTTTACACGGGGATTACGTGATCAGTGAGGAGGAGCATTCAGGTTTACACGGGGATCACGTGATCAGTGAGGAGCATTCAGGTTTACACGGGGATCACGTGATCAGTGAGGAGGAGCATTCAGGTTTACACGGGGATCACGTGATCAGTGAGGAGCATTCAGGTTTACACGGGGATTACGTGATCAGTGAGGAGCATTCAGGTTTACACGGGGATCACGTGATCAGTGAGGAGCATTCAGGTTTACACGGGGATCACGTGATCAGTGAGGAGGAGCATTCATCATTAAATACCAGATTGTTTTCCATCTCGATATTCCAATCATAATAGATTCTATATAAGTTACACTTTTTTCCATTTCTTTATTGCAAATGCGAATAGCATATAGGATTACACAATGTCTACATATTCTGGTTAAAAATACAAATATGTTTATATCAATCGGATAAAAATAAATCATGTGAAAAATTGATATTGGCGTATAACAAAATAAACATAACTACAATGTATATTCTCTTCAAATGATGAATAGAATTATATTGCTTACTGAAAAAAAATAATTGGTTCAAGATTTCTCGAGTTTATCGTGGGATTATTTTTTTTTACTATTTTTCTTTGCATCTATTCACAGTGACATTTCAACAACGAGATACAGAATCAGTCGATAACACAAACTATACAGTGTATTGTGTACTCTTACCATACGACAATATGTACAATATATTCAGTACAATTAGGATACGACCACGTGTTCTAATCTCTACCACATTGCAAACACGTCTGTATCATTCAACAAATGTCCCTGTATACAAACATTACTACAAACCTATTTGTTATATATATATATATAAGTAAGTAACAGTTTACCATAAATATAATGTCATTTAACATTTGACAAGAAAGGGTGACGAGTTCAAGTGTGACCAATCAAATACCGTGACCGCTATGACGTCAGTATTCTTGACATAGAATTCGCAACGGATTAAACCGTCTATAATCATTTTACTTGATGTATATGTTTTCATTTGGCATCAGACAACAAGATAGGTATGATATAAAGACACTTATGACAGTTATGGTCAGTATGAAAGCCATAGTTCTGCAGGCAAACACACCAGTCATCGCGGTCATTAAAACAGTTCAAAATTTCCAATAATCGTGTGGTAATTTGATAGTTATTCTGAATTAGCTATATTGTAGGTTGGAATACTTTTAATCTCAGTCCGAACGTTTCCAGTATTGGCTTGATCGGGATCACAATACCGGACCCAGTGGCGGTGTCCGCTCCCACTAATACACCAACACAGATCAGAGATCGAGAATTATCTTCGTTGACTATGACTTGGAACACTCCAGCGCCTGAGTCACCCGGGGTAGAGAAGGGCGGTGGTTGGCAGTCTTGTTCCGAACATTGCCGGTTCTCTATGTAGTACACGCCCCGCCAACGCTCGGTCTCGGTAGCTTTACCATAAATCTTTGAGCTGAATTCGGTCATCTCGATTCCTCTATACGTCCCGTATGTTATACCGGAAGCACTCCCGAACTTAATTATCTCGTGTCCCACTGTCGGTTCACCAAATTCACCATGGTTGAAATCGGGTCCATGTTCTGGAAATCCTAATAGCAAAAGAAATACAGTGATATTACGCCATTACTCTGTACAACAGACACTGTGAATGAAACAGATTTAAGTATAAATTAAAAAATAACACTGTCTTCCTAATGGTTGACAGTAATCATTTGTATCGCTTTGCTTACTTTTGATTTGTGAAATTACAAAATATGCAGCGCTAAATGTGTATACATATGAGTGTTGACAATCTTAAAATGCTAGTTGACATTTTTGGCCCCAAATAAAAAGAAATACCATATCATTATACGTAGATCGATAATGATAGAAAGTTCAGATGTCATGAATACAAACGACAGTATGTTTTCACGAAGACACGGGAAATTAAATACTGGTATATCGGTTATAGCATTTAAAAGAAAACTAAATCGACATCAACCTCGTTCCGTGAATTGTTCCTGGCTGTAGGCAGAGAACCCTGGCAACGGCGGTACCCTCTGTGGTTCCGTGATCTCCACCACTGCCACGTCTATAGACGTTTCCTCGTCTAGGCTGTACTTGAAGTAAACCACTTTACCACACTTACGGTCATCCTCCGGATGTTCAGTGCCGCCATTGCTTGGTTGCACAACATCTATATCCGGTACACTGTCCCCTACGTATCGACTGTTGCCATGGACAACGTGTGCACACGTGATAAAGCCGACTTTATCGTTTTCCAGTTGTACAAAAGGCCCAACGCTACCAAACCTGTGAACATGTTCATAGTTTTATTACAAAATAAATTACCACGATAAATATCAACCTCAAAAACGCCCAGGAGAAAACAATGATTCGATTAATGACTTACCTAAAAAATATTCCAGCTTCTGGTAAAATTGAGAAATTTGAACAATGGATACATTCACCTATATAGTAATCGAATCTGTACACTATACCAGAAACTGTACCGTCACCTTATCGCTGATTCGCAGTTGAATCAGTTCATTATTTGACTTTACGGTATGTTACTCTAAACTTGTATCGAACATCATTATGCACTTGTGTGTCTTTTGTACTGTACAGATTTTATTTCACAAATAAACAGTACATAGTTGTAGTATCCTCAACGCCGAGATGACATACATGAATTATTTTGAAAGTAGAAATACACTAATTGATAAATCAGTCATGATGATTAGATATAAGAATTAACAGCGTGGTCGTTGTATTTGAAAGGTGCTTTACACAAATGTATCAAGTACAAAGTGTTAACTTGATATTAACTCAATCGTCAAAGATACGAGTTCAACAAAAAAAAAAAAAAAAAAAAAAAAAAAAAAAAAAACAACACGAATATAGAAAACGCGTCCTTAAACAAAGACGAATTTCGGTGAAAGATTTTAGTTGAAAATATGTTGCACCAGCGAATGTCTTCTATCCATCCAGAAAAGTTACATTTCAAAGACGTGGTGTTTTAATTCTTTTTGTAAAAATAGTTTATATAATCACCTACCTCATTGTGGTGTCATCAGCAGCGCCAATGTTACAGCCGAAGCTGAGAGGTTTGTGTAAAGCATCAGGACACTGCACGTGGTGTAAAACAACATTTCCTTCCCTTATATCTACAGGGAGTTTAACATCACCAACTTCTACCTCTGTCGGAAATAGCGGCTCATTGTCAGGCACGAAACCTTTAAAGTGACAAAGAATGACTAAACATGTCTGCTTCTCGAATCTTCCTGATTTATATTTCACAGGCGAAGACATAATGCCTCTCAAATTTGAGTGGCGGTTCCACAGTTTGTCGCTGTGTTGTTTGATGGCTCTTCCTACTAGTTTCCGGTCTTCATCAGACAGAATGTAACCTTCCTTGTGGCTATGATACAACACTTTTCGACTCTCGTCACTGGAAACACTGGGATTACGGAAGCATACTGAGTAGCCAGCTTCGCTTGTTTCACTCCCATGTGATATTGTGTTTGTGTAAATTACGAACATTTTTTGCTTCTTGGGTAGGTACTCCCCGAAAACAATATCGACATATTTATCTTTATAGTTCTTTCTCAGTATCTCTTTAACAATATAGGGCTTTGATTCCTTGAATTCACCAACACATTCCGACAGACATTTTGTTACGATTTCGTCAGCTGTGTACCTGACAAGGAGTCCTAATGTCTGCTTTTGTTTCGAATAGAAAGCTACCTCCATCGGAGTAAGCATTTGCTTAGATTCCAAACAAAGATTTGAAAAAAATGCACTATTTATTTTCTTCATTGGGTCAGCCCCGTTTTCGATCAGACGCAAGACATCCAAGGATTTCCCCTCTGCTGAAAATCGATGGAGGCTTATCCACTGCCGGAAAACCTCATCCGGGTTTTTTTCTAGATCTACGTCACTGGATGTCTCTGGTATATCGTATTCAGTGTCATCGGTTATAGTGAAATCTGGATCAGCCGGCGTTTGACTGCATTGAGGTATTTGTGCATCATCATTATCATCACCGTCTTTTCCTTTAGTAGAAAACATATTCAGATCATTGAACAAAGACAGGAGCGAATCCTTGTTATTTGCACATTGTACACCTGTGTTCATTACCGACTTATTCAAGTTTATGGCAGATATTAATAATCATTCTGATTCCTGACATATTTCTAATACAAATTCAAAATTGCAGTTATTTGCTTAGATAAGGTTGTTTGAAGACTTCTGTCTTAGATATGAAACTATACTATCCAGCGGAGTAATGAAGATAGAGCATACATAAAGACTGTGGGAAGAGTCCCTACATACAATTGTCCTTGATTTTTGATGACTGACAGTTGTATATCAGTCTAGTGTTCATTGTAATATTTTTTTCTCATGTTACACGTTTGTGAAAAATTTTAAAGCTTACATCTACTTCGATGAAATATAACTGTCGTCAATAAAGAAACAGGAATATCTTCACTGTTGATGACATGCACCAGGACAAAAATCGCTGCAGATAACCTGGGATTAGTCTAATTACGTTCCTTCCTATTTTACAAGACATTGGATGTAAGGTTTAAAGTTCGACAATATTGCATAGAATTTTAAACGAGAAATTTAGCAACGGTTTCTGTCTAGTCAGTCTAGAATGACTCTCCAATTCCCTTCCTTATCGCATCTCGTATCTTTTTAATAACTTCATAATATTTAACTTTTTAACGTTGACTCTTCAATACTCTGCGTTATGACATATCGTACCTTTCTAACTTAATAATAATAACGTCCACAATATTTTTTCGTGAATAATCTGTCTAGTTATACCTTTCATGCTGGTGAATCCGGAATCTTTCATAGAATTTTTGCTTGTTAGATCACCCACTGTAAAGCATAATGAGTATAATGTCTATAAAACTGATTGTACAAAAGACTCACAAATAAATAAAAACTGTCAATACCAGTTTAGAATTCTATATAGTAGAGTTTAGTCCCTCTTGGACTCTTCAGTGAATCTAAGGACTTAATCTTTGAAACATAGGCGAAAACTGAGGAAAATATGTATATAAAAACTGTGCGAAAGAAATGCCCGCATATTGATGGGGAGATGCATTAATAAATTTCTTGATGTTCAAACCTATAACATTGTCATTTCTTGAAGACATCATATAACTATTGATATTAATTCACAATATAAACTGCATACTATATATTTACTACTGTAACACTATATACACACTAAGGTCTGATTCCGAACAAATCACAGGAATTTTGTATGCAAAAACCTCGTGATGAGTTTCATAAATATCCTATACGTCTTCGGAAAAGCAGTATTTTATAAACAAGAAATTGAGAACTAATGTAACTTTAAATATTCTTGTTTAATATATTTGTTGGGTCGTATTTAAATAAATGCTGCCATGAAATTATGACATCACAATTGTTAAGAAAGCCCACGTGCCTTAACAGTGATCTGTAGTACATTGCAGTAGGATTAATTGTGAAATAATTTAAACGATGCATTATTTCAACAATGTATACCGACTTTTCTCTAAACAAATTGCAATCAAATTGTTATAAAACTTGTGTCTCAGAAGTGACAAACATCCTAAAAACTGCTTTCACTTAATTATTAAAGTTTCTTCTCAGTTGCATTAGTAAGAAGTAGTTTTAACTTTTTTCTTCAGGGTGGCGGCCTTCTAAAATTTCAACGGATTTTAAAGTAAAGAGATTAGAAGTCATTGTTATCAACCTACCCAGAGTAAAGGAAGCATCTGGTCCTTCACTTTTCTTGAGAAATCTGATCAATTCTGTCTGATTGGCTTCCCTTGCCAAGTCCATAACACTCCTTCTGTCATTCGTTCTTGTCACAAGGTCGAATCCAGCATAAATCAAATCCCTAACAATGTCCACGTTACCTGCACGTGCAGCATAGTGTAGAGCATTGAATCCCATGGAGTCTAGATATTTACCCTTTTCAATACAAAATGTGTATTTCTCAATCAGGTGATGAATCATAGTTGTTTGACCCTTACTTGCTGCGAAATGAAGTACAGATGATCCACCTTTGGTTGTAAAATCTACAGCAATACCACTGCTGACTATGTTGTCCAATCTCTCTACGTCACCGTCCTCAGCACTCGCGAATAAATCCGCCAAGGTATATTTCCTCCGATTCTGTAAACAATTAATAACTACTTTTCTTTACACAAGATCATGTATGAACGACAAGTTTTGCTTTCTACCCGTCCAGGTGTGAACGACCAGGTTTGCTTCACATAAGACGAGGTGTGAACGACCAGGTTTGCTTCACATAAGACGAGGTGTGAACGACCAGGTGTGCTTCACATAAGACGAGGTGTGCACTACCAGGTTTACTTCACAGTTGTGAACGAACATGTTTGTAACTCAGTCTATTAATGATTCAGTATATTTTCCATTGTATTGCTGATTTGTTACTCGTCAAACTGGTAGTTTTCACTTATCTTTTTTATAATTTTGTTTACAAGGCTATGAACTCTACCGGTGATGCACGCTGCATTGAAAACAAAGTAAAATATATAAATTAAATATAAACATAAATACTTCTACAAAAACCACGAGACAAACAAGCTCCGACATAAAAATATCTTACAAATCACGAGACAAACAAGCTCCGACATTGAAATATCTTACAAAACACGAGACAAACAAGCTCCGACATAAAAATATCATACAAATCACGAGACAAACAAGCTCCGACATAAAAATATCTTACAAAACACGAGACAAACAAGCTCCGACATTAAAATATCTTACAAAACACGAGACAAACAAGCTCCGACATTAAAATATCTTACAAATCACGAGACAAACAAGCTCCGACATTAAAATATCTTACAAATCACGAGACAAACTAGCTCCGACATAAAGATATCTTACAAATCACGAGACAAACAAACTCTGACATTAAAATATCTTACAAATCACGAGACAAACTAGCTCCGACATAAAAATATCTTACAAAACACGAGACAAACAAGCTCCGACATAAAAATATCATACAAATCACGAGACAAACAAGCTCCGACATAAAAATATCTTACAAAACACGAGACAAACAAGCTCCGACATTAAAATGTCTTACAAAACACGAGACAAACAAGCTCCGACATAAAAATATCTTACAAATCACGAGACACACAAGCTCCGACATAAAAAATATCTTACAAATCACGAGACAAACAAGCTCCGACATAAAAATATCTTACAAAACACGAGACAAACAAGCTCCGACATAAAAATATCTTACAAAACACGAGACAAACAAGCTCCGACATAAAAACACTTACAAATCACGAGACAAACTAGCTCCGACATTAAAATATCTTACAAATCACGAGACAAACAAGCTCCGACATTAAAATATCTTACAAAACACGAGACAAACAAGCTCCGACATTAAAATATCTTACAAAACACGAGACAAACAAGCTCCGACATAAAGATATCTTACAAATCACGAGACAAACAAACTCTGACATTAAAATATCTTAAAAATCACGAGAAAAACAAGCTCCGACATAAAAATATCTTACAAAACACGAGACAAACAAGCTCCGACATAAAAATATCATACAAATCACGAGACAAACAAGCTCCGACATTAAAATATCTTACAAAACACGAGACAAACAAGCTCCGACATTAAAATATCTTACAAAACACGAGACAAACAAGCTCCGACATAAAAAATATCTTACAAATCACGAGACAAACAAGCTCCGACATAAAAATATCTTACAAATCACGAGACAAACAAGCTCCGACATTAAAATATCTTACAAAACACGAGACAAACAAGCTCCGACATTAAAATATCTTACAAAACACGAGACAAACAAGCTCCGACATTAAAATATCTTACAAAACACGAGACAAACAAGCTCCGACATTAAAATATCTTACAAAACACGAGACAAACAAGCTCCGACATTAAAATATCTCGAATATTAAAAATCATTTAAACCATTTCCTGGACTACAGTATGTGAGCTTTACAAGTAATATCACACTTTGTAATGTCTCATGTTTGTGGTGTTAAATAAAAATACAGTGTATTGTCAAGTATGTTCAAGTACATACTAGACACCAACAACTTGAAATGGAACAAAAAAAAACTTATTTATCTATACAATAAGCTTGTCAACATGTATGTTTTTTTATTGTGGACATTTTTATCCTCAAATATGGTTGCTGATTGCTAGGCTTTGGTTGCACAAGATCTAATAATTAGTGAAAGGCCAGTATTGTTAATAAAATGAGGACATACGATCACTAAATAAACAACAGGGAATGAGACAGGTTTCGGTTGAATTACATCACACAAGCACAGCATAAGAAAGCTTACCATATCTCTCCCCTCCTCATCTTCGTTGATGACTGTCAACTCGGAATCGTATCTTTGTTCCGCGTCAGATAAACTGGAATATACTGGTACATGCTTAGTTTCATCTTTGAGTAGATATCTCTCTCCTTGAGAAGGAAAACAATAACGACATGTCTGCAATATCTTAACTAAAAGCAAAACAGCGGATTAAAATAAAAGTGGATAAATCCATGCTTTAAAAGGTTCACAATTTATTTTATGTCCTGTGCTCTGTTTCAGTATGTTGAACGTTAACAATTCATTGATATGTGCATCTCATTGTTTAACGATCGAAAGGAAGAGGTAGTAATATCATATCATGGCTTTACTTAAGGTACTTCAAGAAACATATTTTTGACAGCAATAATATAGCCAAGATTCTGGAAATGAAACTGTGAGGTCTTGGTGCACGTGATAGACTATAAATACGAATAGAACATTTAACATGATATACCAGAGAATAACACCAGAGAACGACTGTTAAATTGTATAAAGAGAATATGACTATAGGCGCAGAAAGGTCAAGGTCGTCTGCCTCATGTAAGACACCCGCTAAATAAAAAAAAACATGATAGATGACAGAAACTCTGCATACCAATAGAATCATCACTCTCTAAATCACGGATATGCTGAAGTAAATCGGTTTTCTTAAACGTTTCTGCTAGCTCAAGGGCAGTCAATCCCTTCGACGTTTTCGCGGTTGTATCGAAACCTGCTCGCACTAGCTCCACAAATACACCAATAGTTCCTGAAAATACACAACAGTTGTGTAACGCATTGTAGCCTTGCATGTCAAGGTCATGGCCTTTAGGGATGCATTCTGGGTAGTTAGTTAGCAGATGAGAGACCATTTTAGTGTGACCTCCATACGCTGCATAATGTAGGACAGATGACCCTCCCAAGGACACGGATGTGATAGGGACACCATGTTTCACCACATCTGTCAGGGAGGACAAATCCCCGAATGTAGCAGACTGAAACAGGTCCCCGACTGTATAAACTTTCTCGGACGCCATGCTGTGTCAATAATCTGAAATAAAAAAACACTCTCAGTAATGTTTTCATGTTATCACGATATTCAATATCCAGCTTGAGTAGTTCTTTTAGTCGGGAAACCATTCCAAAATTTAACAAAGATAACTTTACATAATATTCTTGGAAAACGGGGTAGTTCCTTTTAGTAAGCAAGAACACAGGACGGCATGCAGAAGTGACAGACAGAAGTCATTGAAACAGTAAATGAATATTCCGTTTTTAATTACCGGATTTTGTTATGGGTGTGGCAAATGTCATTTGAAAAATCTTAGTCAATTCAGAATTATGAAGTATTCAAACAGTAAATCTAGAGTGTAATTGTCAGATATGAAAACTACGAGATTACTGGGGTGGTGGGGGGTAAGTGCATTCCTTTCCTCGTGCCGATTTATAATTTTAATTTAGACATGACAGTTCGGTTTACTTTAAAGCATAAACCATTTCATACATTAAATTTTTTCAGAGGTAAAGATAAAAATCTAAAGGAAGACCTTGCATCTACAAGTGGGGTCAGAAACTGTGTCGAAAGTTTCCTCTGATCAATACGATATACGTTATTGATATTAGAAGCATTTGGATTCGTTAGGATATGCAATAGAGCAGAGTAACTAATCAGGCATATGAATTAATATTTTGTCTGTTTCCGGTTTTACCGGGTATAAAGTACATATTAGTCTTAGTGTAACGTGCAGCCTAGCTTTGCACACGGTGGGTAAGTCTCTGATTCCTTGCAGAGATACTAGCTAACAAATGCCGATATATACATATAGCGTGGAACAGCAAACTCTACCTGAGTTAAGAATAAAACTAACGAACGAACTAGTATTCACATGGACTGCTGTCCCGACACAGACTGTTCTGACTAGCATGTGTATTTCATGATAAAATTCTCTCTTTTCTTTTAATCAGTTCATTTTCTATATATAAATTAAATATTCTCAAAGTTAAATATGAAATTCATTTGGAACAAACGAATTTCTTTAAAAAGTACAATTTATTCAATACAGATTTTTTTATACACTAAATGTCCATTTTGGTTTGTCAATTAATCTTGTTACATAATTATAACATTCACAAGTCAACAAAGATATATTTAACCTTTCATGTCAGGAAGAGTTAAAGCAATTAAATTGTAAAGTGTCATAGACACGGAAGGGTCAATTGTGAGTGTATCGGCACTAAGGATTTACACTAGTATTTTATATTAGCCCTTGGTCAACACCCTTTGTGTGGTGAGTAGCCATTACGTAATAGGTTATGACTAGGAGCCCACATGTCAGTGATTTAGATATTTTTGGAATTATACCGACGCTTACCATTGCGCATGCCTGTGTCCGGAGAACAGCTTGATCTTCATAAAATCTGAGTTTTCGTATCACTTTTTGACGAGACTCAATAAAGGAAAGATCAACGTTAACAGCTGTCTCCATTATATATTTTACAGGTGAGCACACTTTCTTACTAATGTACATTTAGTCTATTTCCATATTGTTAATTGACACACTTTGTATTTTATTATTATTTTTCTGTGTTCGATATTATCTTTCATACGTCTGTATTTGTATTGATTTATGTAGTTAAATATTTATGTTTTATTCTTGTCTGTGAAATGCAAAGAATAGTGTTCCCGTAATTGAAAATGTTTATCTATTGTAAAGCTTTCAACCATAAGCATTTTATGCACAATTTATTAGTCTCTTGTGAAATATTGTATGTTTCAATTAGATATCATTTTATGAATTATTTATGAGTTATTGCCCCTTAATTCTGATACTTAATTATTAATAGATTTAGTTCCATTTCTTTGTATTGAATTTTTAATATTAATATATACTTTTATCTTGCAAAGTTATGAAATTTTCTTAAATTGTTTTTGTCTGTCAGATCTTGTAATTTGTTATCTCAGTTTAGAATCTGATTGAAATATATGTACTTATGATGTATTATTATTACTGTTCCTTATAATGATTATTAGAACTTGAGTTCAGGTTTTAATACGCATAATTGTGAGGACTTA